TGTTTGTGAAACTAATATAACGAAATGATAATTATATCTATTCTTTGCATGTCTCAATGCATTTATGGAGTTGGGAAAATAGACATGGTGTAGAACACAAGAATTCCCAATTGGGATATTAGGGATTGAGAAGAGCAGAAATTAGGGATTTGGAGAATTGGGGAAGAACAAGAGAGAGAATAGAGATTAGGGATTTGATAGTTTCTGTTTATTATTGCTTAAATCCCAAAACTAATGAAATGCGTCCTTAAGTAGTGTAAACCGAAATAGCACAAAATAACAAGTTTGCCACTCCTTCCCTCCCCCTCTTTGGCCGACCGGCCCTCTCCCTCCTAACCCGGAATCGGGTTTCCTACATCCCCTCCCCCTTCAGAATCGACACCGGCCTCGATGTCGAAAGCCGGGAATCTCTGACGCAGCACCTCTGACTCCTCCCAAGTAGCATCGTCCGGTTCCACATGCTTCCACTGCACCAAGCTCTCCTCCACCAGCCGCCCTCCTCTCTTTGTCCACCGGGTCTCTAGTACCTTGAGAGGAACGAGCTCCAAGTCACCATCTGCGGTTACCGGGGGAGCCGTCGACGTCACCCTGTCCGCCTGGCCCCGGTACTTCTTCAGCAAGGAAATTTGGAACACCGGGTGTATGCGCGAACCTGCAGGCAGCTGTAGGCGATAAGCAACTGGGTTAACCTTGTGGATGATCTCGTACGGCCCGAAGTACCTAGCTGCCAGCTTCTGGTATGCCCGCCTGAAAACCGAGGACTGCCGGTAGGGGTGCAACCTCAACAGAACCCAGTCTCCCACCTCAAACTCCTCTTCCCGCCGCCCTGCATCCTCGGCCTGCTTCATCCTGTTGGACGCTGCAGCCAAATTAGTCCTCAACTGCTCCAGAGCTTCATCTCGCGCGCTCAACCACTTGTCCACCGCATCCACCGAGCTCGACCCGCCTCTGTACTGTACCAACGTCGGGGGTGATCTCCCATACAGCGCCTCGAACGGAGTCATCTTAATAGACCTGTGAAATGTGGTGTTATACCACAATTCTGCCCAAGGGAGCATAGCCAGCCACTGCCGCGGCTGCTGGTGGGTAAAGCACCTGAGATACTGCTCCAGGTACTTGTTAACTATCTCCGTCTGTCCATCAGTCTGCGGATGGTATGCCGAGCTCATGCGTAGTACAGTCCGTGCCATGGCGAAAACCTCCTGCCAAAACCTGCTCAAGAAAACCGGGTCGCGATCACTGACAATAGACCTGGGGAATCCATGATGGCGCACCACTCCCAGGACAAACTGCTCGGCCACCATCTTCGCCGTGTACGGGTGTGCCAAGGGCATAAAATGAGCATACTTCGTGAGCCGATCCACTACTACGAACAAAACCGTCTTCCCACCCGAAGGAGGCAACCCCACTATGAAGTCCATGCTGATGTCTTCCCATACCCGTTCCGGGACCGGCATCGGCTGTAGAAGGCCGGCGGGTCGCAGGTAAGACAACTTCACTCTCTGGCATGTATCGCATGACTCCACATAGTCTCGCACTGCCTGTGCCATCCTGGGCCAGTAGAAATGACCCTTAATCCTGCGAAGCGTCCTCTCGGCGCCGGAATGCCCTCCCAACGGAGAGTCATGGAACTCCTGAAGTACCGAAGTGACCAGGTTCGAGCCAGGAGGAAGAACTACTCGACCCTTGAACGTCACCAGCCCCTGCCGAAATAAATAATGACCCGGGTTATCGCTCACTGCGATTTCCCGGCACTCCTGCAAGTACTGACTGGTCTCCATGGATGCCCGTAACTCATCCCAAAACTGCGGAACAGGCCCTGTCACTGCAGCGAGGATCTCGCTGCCCGGCTTCCTCGACAGCCCATCCGCCACCACATTGGTGGGCCCCGGTCGATAGTGAATCTCATAATCGTAGCCTAGCAGCTTCGATACCCACTTGTGCTGATCCGGAGTAGACACCCGCTGCTCGAGGAGGTGCTTCAAGCTCTGATGATCGGTGTAGATGTGAAACTTCTGCCCCAGGAGATATGGCCGCCAGGTCTGCACTGCAGTAATAATCGCCTGCATCTCCTTCTTATACGTAGACCAAGCCTCCTTGGAGGGGGCTAGCGTCTTGCTCATGAAGGCAATGGGATGGCGGTCCTGAGATAACACCGCCCCTATTCCCCGGCCCGATGCATCCGCCTCGATCACAAATGGCTTGGAGAAATCCGGCATGGCTAGAGTCGGAGTGGTCGTCATAGCCTGCTTCAGCCGCTGAAATGAAGCCTCCGCTGCTGGTGACCAGAAAAACCCCCCTTTCTTCAGTAAGTCCGTCAATGGCCGGGCGATCATGCTGTACCCCTGCACAAACTTCCGGTAATACCCGGTCAGACCCAGAAAACCACGCAACTCAGTCACCGTCGTGGGAACCGGCCAGTCTACCATGGCCTGAATTTTGGTCTGGTTCACCTTCACACCCTGCGGAGTCACCATGTGACCCAAATACTCCACCTCCTGCACCCCGAACTCGCACTTGGATGCCTTGATATAGTACTGATTTGCCCGTAGAACCTCGAATACTGCCTGCAAGTGAGCCAAATGATCTGCCCAAGAAGGGCTGTAAATCAGGATATCATCGAAGAAAACCAGGACATACCGGCGCAGTAGGGGCCGAAAAATCTCATTCATGGCTGCCTGGAAGGTGGACGGCGCATTGCACAATCCGAATGGCATCACCAAGTACTCATAGTGCCCGTTATGAGTGCGAAACGCCGTCTTATGGACATCCTCCTCCTGCATCCGGATCTGGTGATAACCTGCCCGCAGATCCAGCTTTGAGAAATAGCGGGATCCATGAAGCTCATCCAACATATCATCAACTGTCGGAATGGGGAAGCGATCCTTCACTGTAGCTGAATTCAAAGCCCGATAATCTGTGCAGAAGCGCCAGGTCCCATCCTTCTTCCTCACTAACAAAACAGGCGACGAAAATGGGCTAGTGCTCGGTCTGATCAAGCCCGTGAGCAGCATCTCAGAGACCTGTCGCTCAATCTCCTCCTTCTGCGAATGCCCATATCTGTACGGTCTCACATTCACCGCCTCCACTCCCTCTTTCAACTGAATCTGATGATCAACCAGTCGGTGAGGAGGTAAGACAGTGGGAGTCTCGAATAAATCCGAGTAATGGCCAAGCAGCTCCTGGAGCTCCGGATGGAGCACCGGCGGCGCCCCTTCCTCGATCGGCCAACACAGAATGGCCAATTCGGCCTCGCCCTCCGGACCACAGTCCTCAATCGCGATCGGACCAGCCACGGTAGTGAGGCCCTGCAGCTGCCAATCCTTATCCCTCCATTTGAAACGCATGGTCAACCTACGCCAATCACTAGTCACAGGACCCAAGCTCTGTAGCCATGGAATCCCCAAAATAATATCGAATCCCTTGATTGGCAGTATATACAGATCAGTGCATATAGGCAGACCCTGAATTTCCAAAGATATACCTCGTAGTACTCCTCCACAGCTCAGTGTAGAGCCATTCGCCACCTTCACCACCATGGAATCAGTGGCCTCGGCCACCTGTTGCAGTTGCTTGGCGAATTCCTCGCCTACAAAGTTCAAGGACGCGCCACTGTCGACCAGAGTGATGGCCAAACGATCCTCGATTCGTGCGCGGAAACGGAGAGTCCCCGGGGAGGCCCAGCCTGCCATCGAGTGCAGCGAGAGGCAGGGTTGGGGCGCGCCTCGCGCGACGGGGGTGGTCGCGGCAGTCGCCGCTGGTCGGGGCGTCGGGGGCGCGGCGGCGGCGCTCGGCGAGGAGCAGGCCGGCGACGCGGTTGGGGCGGCGGCGCGCGGCGCTGGGGAGGCCGGCGGGGGCAGGCGCACGGCGGCGGGGGCCGTCGGGTCGATGCGCGCGGCCTCTTGGTTGGCGGGCAGCCACCTTCGCCCGATGTTGCGTGCCCGGTTTCTCAAATCTGCCCATGACAGGTCCGAGAGTTTGGAAGAACTCATCGAAGATCGGGGCTCTGATACCAGATGTAGAACACAAGAATTCCCAATTGGGATATTAGGGATTGAGAAGAGCAGAAATTAGGGATTTGGAGAATTGGGGAAGAACAAGAGAGAGAATAGAGATTAGGGATTTGATAGTTTCTGTTTATTATTGCTTAAATCCCAAAACTAATGAAATGCGTCCTTAAGTAGTGTAAACCGAAATAGCACAAAATAACAAGTTTGCCACTCCTTCCCTCCCCCTCTTTGGCCGACCGGCCCTCTCCCTCCTAACCCGGAATCGGGTTTCCTACACATGGCTATTTGGAAAATCATAGATTAAACCGAATTGCGCAGTTTAGTTTGGACTGTAGATCGTTAAAAATGGTTTGGGTTTTTATCCACTTATGAAATGTTTTGTTTAGTTGGTTTAGTATGGTACATACTATGGACCTAACATCACTGCCCAACGAGACCCAAGTCTCAACTCTATTTGTGCAAATCTCGTATCTTCTTTCTTTCACATACCACACTCCACGAGAGAGCAGAGACGACTACATCTCCATATGGCATTATTGTTGGTAAAAAGTGTTTATGATGTTTGTTTATTTGGATTTAATGTATCTAATTTAAGTTTCAAGACAAAAAAAGATTCTCGGTTGATTTTTAGCATGACGAACCAAACAAGATGTTCAATTTTTATTCGAAATAATTTATCTTACTCGTACTATACCAAATGAAATTTTTGTACAAACATTGTCTCTAACCGCGTAGTATTTGATTTGGTTCATAATCTCTATTACAACTCCTTCAATTTATATGCTTTGGTACGTACCAGATGCACCTTTTCCCAACTTATTTCCATCTCCTCGCCAATATAGTATAGTATGGGTTAAAAATGGACAAATGTACCAATATCTAGTTGAGTCACAATAATTGGTCGGTTGGGCTAGCTGGTGGGTTGGTCGGTTGGCTTTGACAGGAGTAACCAGTAACCAGCCAGTGCCCAGTAGCCCCATCCCAGCTCAACTGTCTTCCACTTAGTTATGCATCTTTTCTCCTTCCTTCTGCCCTTCTCCTCCATTGTTGTCTATATAAAGTACACTAAACGCTTCACCAGTCACCTGTGCCTGCCTTCACAAAACGCCTCATCATTAACAGAGGAGGGGATGGGAGGAGGGAATGGGCAGAAATCCAAGACAGCTCGGGAGAGAAACCTGGAGAAGCTTCAGAAGGCCGCTAATAAGGGTACTACGTTACAATCAACTCTCTCTTACGCTTCAGTATATAGCTCCCTAGCTAGTTCAGTTGGCCGCCGAATTTATTGACATGCAAATTCTCTGTATATTGTGGTGGCGCTCGGGTGAAGGAAGCCAGCTTCAGTCCAACAAGAAGGCCATGACCATCCAGGTATCCTTGCCTATTACCTTGGTGTTCTTACTGCTGGCTTTCATACCGCTTTCTTTTTGCTGCCATTGATAGGTTTTGGTTTGTTGTTTCTGCCGGGACGGTGGCGGCGGTGGGGATTTTACAGTGCAAAGTGTGCATGCAGACGTTTATATGCACGACGTCGGAGGCCAAGTGTCGGGAGCATGCTGAAGCAAAGCATCCTAAGTCTGACGTCTACACTTGTTTCCGCCATCTCTCTTCCAAGTAATGGATGGAACCTGCAAGTTGAAAATACTTGGAGAGAGAGAGAGAGAGAGAGAGAGAGAGAGAGAGATTAGCTTATCTATTAGCATGTATGATCAGTTTGTCCACCGATGAAACATGAATGAAGCAGATGTTTATTGGCCACTGCGAAAATAAAAATGTCCACCCATCTACTCTCCCGTTGTTTCTCAAGGAAAAGAACAGCAGATTGCAGCTGGTGGAGAGAAAAAAGATGACCTTTAGACTGGACGGTGGCTCGAATCCAACTTTTGCCATGAGATAAGGATCAATGACTGAGTTGGTAACCTTTTTGGTTGAAAGGCAGAAACTTTAACCATTATAGGTGAGATAGATAGGGGTTTACAACAAGTTGGTAGGCTTTATCAAAGTATATATGCTTTTGATTGATCCACAATTTTTACTTAAAAGACAGAAGCAAGCAAGCACAAGATTCCCCAGAAACTGAAGAAAAAGCCGTTCATGAATCTAGACTCAAACAAAGGCTTCAGTTCATGCGCTGGTAATCATTGCTTTTTGTACAATGGAACAAGGATCGGCATCAAGTTGCTAGAAAAGAGCAAGGGCAGGGGGGGAGCCTGAGGTTGATGGGTCTGGCCTCCTCTGCAACTTATTGTGTCCGCATTCGGCTGTTCTCTGCTGCTCTCACTTGATGGAAATAGGGATGAGCCTGGAAATGGAAAGGGCAATTCAAACTTATAAAAAGGTATAAACTGGAAACAATACTAGTATCCAAAAAGAGGGGAGAAATTAGCTGAGCTTAGTTCTGGATTAATGACAGTCTGATATACCATTGCTTCCTTTGCTGTAACCCTGTCTTGATGGTCATAGCGAAGCAGCTTTTCAAGGAAATCAATGGCCTGTTCATGGGAAAGACGAGTCTGTGCATGAAGTATTAACCAGCAACACAAGTAGGATGATGATTGATAGAAGTTTAAAATTTTGAAGAAAAGAGTTGGAAAAATATCCGCCATCTGAAGACCCAAGGGGCAATTATAAGACTTACCTCCGGAGAAATCAAATGTTGGTTATTAGGATTGATAAATTTGGACCACGGTTTCCTGCTGTGCCTGAAAAGGTTTGGGAATCGAAATGAAATTACATGATCCAATCGTTATTCAGCAGAACTCTGTAGTAATCAACCCTTACGCAATTCTTATCATTTCATGCTTGTAAGAAAACAAACGGGGTACGAAAGACTGTGGTTGTATTTACTTCCCAAGATCCACGGTGCTATGTAACAAAAGGATTATCATCTTACATCAAATCTATCTAGTAGCTAATATTTGGCCTTATAAGTACATAAAATAAACTATTTTTTAACAAAAGCGTGACTACCTGCCAACAAGGGTTTCAAGTTGGGGATCCAGCTCCAAGTTATACTTGTTTAAATATGCATATAATTCATCTGTACCAAGAACCTGAAGAAAAAAATGCAGATAAGGGAACAGGTAAGGTCAAATGCACTTTCTGCCTTTCTGCAAACAGACTGTGCTGAATAGAACTCTTATTATTTTGCAAGAGGTTCTTAACACTGCTCCACCAAAGGTTTGCAAAAGACACCGTGGGACGTTTGGCTTCTGGATTTTAGCAGATTCAAGAAAACAAATAAACAGCTTCTGGGACCAATAACAATATTTCTGCATAGCTTTAAGGAAATCCAATGCTGAAGCATATATGACATAGGTGTCACTATTTGAAACAAACACAAAAATGCAACTTGACTTGCTCACTTGGTTCACACATGTCATGGGAAGCCCTAAATTCCAAATTCCATAGCTTTGACAATCCAAATTTACTACCTTTCACCAGTTATATAAAAGTTAACAAAAGAACCATATGGCAGTACATAACTGTTAGATCACATTGCTAAATCATGTTTACCTTAGCAATTTTTACAAGCTGGTCGTGGTTGTCGCGACCATAAAAAAATGTTTCCTTCCTAAAAATCTGCATGCCGAGAAGGCGAGAAGACAATGCAAAGATTAGGTAAGTTGTCATGACTACTAAAAACACTAGGAATGTTGGCTCTAGCGCTATCAAAATTTTGTGGGATGGAGGAGCAAGGGGAGATTCAACAGAATTCTCACCATGCCTGCAAACATACAGCCTAGACTCCACATGTCAAGAGAATAATCATAGTCCTGTAAATCAACAAGGAGTTCTGGCCCCTTATAGTACCTGAATGCAAGTTAAAAGGGAAAAAAAGCAGAATCATATAAGACTGAGGGAAATAACTTGCGAAATAAATAGAAAGTGACGGGAGCATGGTTTCACTAATGTTCAGTTCATTTTTGCTACCAATATGGTAAACACGCAAGTTGTGGTAAACCTCAACAACTCTTCATGATAAAACAGAAGTACGGAGAGTTTGCAGTGACTTAGACACCAACATTATATTTTAACATTGGAAGGAGTTGCTAGATGAAAATACCAATTGGGATCAGTTACAGGATCCAAAGGTAACTCTGGTTGTAGGGTAAAAATTATAACAAGAAAATAAGATAAAGTGTATAAAACATCAAAGTAAAATCCGGAAGACTGTGAAGTTTACTAGCAGAGTAGATCTCTGCAAGTAGATTTAAGAGATTTTAGAAGTTAAAACACATCGAGCCAGAGTAATGGTCCCTACTGTCCCAAGATGACATAAGAGTCCACATGATTAGAAATGTCTTATCAAAATGATAAGGCAAAATACCCTACTATTGAATAAATGATCACCCACTTCCATCTAATGATTAACTTGAACATATAGTTCAGTTCTTGAGATCTTCATAAGTATAAAACACATACCTAGAAGCTACTCTGACATTGTATTCTTTGCCAGGGTGGTAGAACTCCGCCAACCCCCAGTCTATCAACCGTAATTTGCGCAGCTCATGGTCAATCATCACATTGTGCGGTTTTACATCTCTATGCATTATGCCCTGGGAATGGCAGTAATCTAGTGCCTGAACAACAAGAAAATTAAAGCAGAATTTTTACACATGAACTTACCAAGAAAAAAGGAAGTTACATATAAAAATAAGGTATCATCATCTTTTCTACACACTGATAAAAAAAAAAGCGAGATTATCGTATAGAAACAACCTTAAGAAGCTCATATATATAGTAGCGAATGTCATAGTCCGTGAATGTTGGGTACAGAACTTTAAAATCTGTACTATTCACATACTCAAAAATCAGGCTCGGGGTTTTTGAGTGGTGATCCCTGACGATATCGAGCAGCTTCACTATGTTCTGCCCTCCACAGAGGTTCTGCAGGATCTTAATCTCCCTCTTTATCTACAATGACCAGGAGCAGGTAACTATAAGTCTATAACAGCCACAAACATGACTCACTGGGTATGGAGTATTGACCGCTAAAGAAAAAAGTCACCTTCTTTTTCTTGACAGGCTTCAGGATTTTGATAACGCACTTGTCATTATTCGTGACATTGACACCTTCGAAGACCTCACTGTATTTCCCCCTCCCAACCTTTCGAACAACCTCATAGTCATTCTGATCACTGATCATGAGGTCCCAAAAACACAACCAAACGTCAAAAAAAGGAAAATTTCAGCTGTAACCCTAGTTTTGCTACCAGAACATGAAACCTTGTCGCGGATCGGAAAAAAAGCAATGATGCAATTGAATCGAGAATTAGGGTTTTCAAGAGGAATGGTAAAAGTTTACTTACCCCCACTGAACAGTGTGAGATTCGTAGTCCCAGTACTCTCTGGGCCGATGAACGTTGATGTCAGCGTAAACTCGAGCTCTCGACATGTCTGCCGGCGGTTGAAGCTAATCTTCCTCTCTCCTGGTTGCTCTTTAAAAAGAATATATTCGTTGTGCGCTCCGCGACTCGCTGGTGGCAGGACGATGCTGGCTTGAGTCACCATTACATCACTGAACTTTAGGATATTGACGATTTGGTTCCTAAATCCTAATGGTAACACCCGGCCGATAAATTTTGGTACAAATGCTAAAATACCCTTGGCCTAATTATTATCATCTTAATTAAGCAAAAACCCAACCCAAAACTAATCCTGGTGGGAGCGCCGAAAGAAACCCTATCAAGTATCAACATCATTTTCTTTTCTCCTCACGCAAGAGCGGAGCCGAAATTCCTCCAATCTCATCCCTCACTTCATGCATCACGAACCCAACTACCATTACGCGCACGCAATGTCAAATCATCGAACTACCTAAGTAACAATGATGGCAATGGTGATTGAATCTCCACGAGGGCCACCACAACGATGGAGGGGATGGACTGGAGGAGTGCGAGCAGGAAAGGCCTATATATGGTATCAGTCGATTCCTGCTGGATGTTATTGAGGTTAAAATGACTTCTAGGGTTGGGTTAGCTTCAGCAGTAGTATGGGAACATGGAATGGTAGTCCAATGAGAAGTGGCGGCAGGGGAGATCCACCTTAACAATGCTTGAGATTCATCGACTGATTACTGAGGTGCGTGGTTAAATGGGTTTTAGAATAGTTTTTGTTATCAGTGTATATATTTAAGTTCATGTTATACACTACGGTTCTTGTTTTATGCTTCAATCATTCCTTATATATATGTTTCCATTGGGGCTGTTAGTCAGTATGGTTTCGGTTTAACCGAACCGCACCATCGGTTAGCCGAGACAGAGAATCACCCATCAGCGCCAACCGAAGTCGAGACCGATGGGGTCTTCGGTTAACCGCCAACCGCAACCGGCGGTTTCAGTTTTTGGATGCGGTTTGCTGAGACCGCAGGGCCTGTCTTCTTCTCCTCGTCCTCTTCCCAGCCATCGAGAAGGACTGGCCACTAGTATGTGTTGTCTGCCGGAGAAGGAAACTAGAGGGAGATCCCACCACGACGGGAGGACTGGCAGGCGGGTGACGACGATGACAGGGCGATGACGACGGCTGCGGCACCGGCGGGGATGGTTCGAACTCTAGAGGAAATCGGAGATGGTGTGGTAGGGGGTGTATTTTTTTGGGATTTAGGGTTCCTCCGGTCCTCCTCTCCCATTAGACTTTGATTTCTCCAGGCGAAAGAAGAGAAGACTCCTAAACCTATTTCGCCAGGCGCCGCCACCAGATCTCCCCTCGCGCCGTCTCGTCTGTCGCCAGGCGCCGCCGACAGCTCTCCCACTCTCCATCGTTGTCCTCGTCCCTACCCCCTCTGTTCGTTGTACGCTCGTCACCCCAACTCAAACCCCCAACTCCGCTCTGTCAATTGGGATTTACTAGGCAAAGATTCGAAACTCAAAATGGGAGGAGGAGTGGGAATCGACAACAAAGGAGTGAGTATTCGGAGAGAAGGGTCGGCAAAGTCGTGCGGGGGAAATTGGGGGTGTGGAGGGCGGTGGTGGTGGCCTGGTGGGAGGCTGGAGATGGAGAGGGAGAGAGTGTCGATGCGGGGTGAGGAGAGCGAGATGAGAGGTTTGTCGGTTGCAGCGGTGCACCGAGTTTGATCTAGGTTAGAAACCGACAATCGACCGTTAGCATAAAGCCCAGAATTAGCCCACCGACACCGACAATGAGGCAAAGATATCGGTTTTCGGTTAGGTTGATAACCGCGTTTTTCGGTTTGGTTTACGGTTCAACCGATTAACTGCCAATCGATTACCAACCCTAGTTTCCATGTTAAGTTAATTTGTTTATGCTTAGCCTTTACTTTATGCAAATCATCATGATGCATTAGTAAGCTATGTTTTTAGTCTAAGTTTATACAAGTTCAATTCCAAACCAATCAAGTGCAAGTTAATAAGTTTAGCTCTTCCCATTGTGTGGGAGATCACCTTAAGTAAGCTCGAACTTCTCAAGTTATGTAAGCAAGTATAAACTTAAGTATGACTCTTCATCTTGTGAGAGACCGTTTCAAGCAAGCACGTATAAGATATCAAGTTAATAAGAATAAATGTCCTCGCTTAACTATTCGCACACGGTTACCTTACTCCTTGTAGACGAGGAGCACCTTGTAGATTAAGGGTCATGATACGTATGAGGTACTGGACGATTGCTTACAGAGCACGCAGTATTGTGTTTCCCACAGTGAGGAAACCCCATGAGGCCATGATATGTATGTCATGATCTGTGTCCGACGCGATCACCATTACTCCCTGTAGACGGGGAGAGTATGTCATGTCACTCCTTGTAGATGACGAGGGTTATGTTCATGATACGTTGGTGCCGAACAGTTATGCTAGTTAGGTCGAGTGTGGGATCCCATTTCAAGTTAAGTAAGAAAAACAAATTATAAGTAAGTAGGGATGGCAATGAGTCGGGTTGGGTCGGGTTTTGCCAAACCCAAACCCATGGGTTTATCCGTAAAAAAAAAATTCGGGGTAAAACCCACCGGGTTTGAAAAAATCAAACCCAACTCAACCCGCTGGGTATCTGTGGGTTCATGGGTATCCATGGGTTTTTGTGGTAAAAGATTTACAATAACAAGTTCCTATCAAAATATAATTCAAACATCAATTCTCTCATACAAATTATCCATACATAAAACACCATTCTAGAAAATTCAAACATATCACAATTACACTAAATAAAATCACACGGAATAAGTATAGTGGGAGTTAGATTGGAGGAAATTAGAATTAGGATAGGGTTTTTGGGGACGGGGAGAGTAGGGCGACGAAATAAGTGTGGGCGGGTATCCATGGGTCGGGTACCCCTAAACCCAAACCCAACCCAACCGGTGAATAGTGTACTGGTTTAAACCCAAACCCGGCCCTTGGATCGGGTAGGGTACCCATGGGTTCGGGTTTTTTTGCCATCCCTGTAAGTAAGAATATGTGAATAATACTATACTCCTACTAATGTACCCAACAACGTACCATAAGCATTGCATATGCATGATAGTTTATTTATGTATGATAACGAAATTATGATTAGGACTGACCCCATCTCCCGCATTCAGTAACGTAGAAGCTCCAGAGTATGCTTAGAAGTTCGGCGTTCGTGACAAGGACCAATGGCTCTAAAGGACTTCCGTAAGGTGATTTTTTTATTTCTTGTATTTAGTAGGATTTGAGACTTGATATGAATTTATTAAGAGTATTTATGATTTATTGAAGTTTCAAAAAATAGTTATTTAAATTTAAAGTCTTTATTAAAGCATATTTATGAAGAGTTTCCCAGCTATATTGCCAAATCTTTTCAGTTCCTATTTTGATTAACGGTTTAACAAGGGTACTTTGATAAAAGTACTCTTCGGTCGGACTAGGGTGTTACTCCCCTTGCATACCCAAACCAGAGATTTTGGCAAAACATTTTTAAAGCATTCTTGTAGAAAAATTCTTTATGTTTGTAATGTGATATTCAAACTTTTACGAATAAATTGAATTGAGTTTCCAAATTATGTTTGAAATATGTTCATAATTGAATTAAATTAAATTTTTTCAACTATACCTTTATTAATTTCCAGCAGAAAGACCATTGTTATTACTAATTAAAAATCAATCTCCTAGAAACGCAAGTATAAAAAGTATCATCTAACCAATCTGACCAAGCAAAAACCGAAGTTCGTAGATAATAGTAAACAATTTGAATATCCATCTTCTAAAAATCTTCACTGTAACACATTTTTCTCTCGAGCCAAGAGAGATCATATCATCATGAGTATATATTAGGTTAAATAACGATTGAGTGAGGAATGTAAGACGCACAATTCTGGAGTTTTGGCGCCAAATTATACATAGGGGTAATTTACTTAGCAGTTGAGAATAGTTATGTCATTTTATCATAATCAGTAAAATACTTGTGGAATTCATTTGGAAATTCCATCTCAATTTCTTGGAATTGTTCAAACTAGCCTCAATTCCGTAGAATTCAAAATTTAAAATTGAAAATTAATTCATTTACATTCCAAAACACAAAGAGATTTCATTTCAAAATGAAGTTATAGAATTTATTTATACTAAACGGTATCAAGGTTTCTGCAATTCTCGTTAGTCACTAACTTTTGAATTTTCATTGATTAGTGATTAACGGTTGGAACTTACACTTCAAGTTTAGTAAATCGGTTTAACCCCTCACACAAGTTTAGCAAATATATGGTCTTACTAGGGTACAATCCTTTTATTTACTTGTTGATGCCATTTTAACAAAAACGTGTAAAGAAGGTGGAACATCATTAACATCAATTGAATTATGTGTATATATAATCTAACTTAACACATTTCTCTATAATATATATCTATATTTATTTATATTTAAATAGAACACCAAATTACCAACAAATGACAAATTATTGTATTTAAATGAAATATTTACCGTCAACATACAAATGTTTATGTTTGAATCCAATAAATAAAATTAACATCTAGATGTACATACTTGAATCGAAGAATTACCTTTCCTTTTGTTAGTTAGTTCCACCAAAACGACTTTATTTATGGAACAAAATTTGATCATTCCATATTGATCACAAATTTTCTCTATTTTGATCGACTTCGACCTTTTTTTATACCGATTTTCACAACCTCATACCAGTAGTATTGTGATACAGCCACAGCTTCCCCATATGAAAGATTTTCAACCATGTTAATTGGTCCTAAGTTTAGTTCATCATTCCTATATTGAGTAGTGCAAAATAACAAATAAAATTATAGTGGGTTGAATTAGGAATGGAACAGTATTGGAAGAAGTTATGGTGCATAGTCAAAATAATTGAATAAGCAAGTAAATATTAGGGCCAGCTCAAGAGAGAAGTTTTGGATGATAAAAAATAAATCAAATGTACGACCAACCGAGGATACTATATTGAAATTAATTGTTCTTATTCTATGCAACAACATTTGTGTACTGAAACATAGTGAAATTGTTTCATGCTGCTGGCTAATGACCTAAACAAAGAACATGAAGCATTTTGATGCTTAATTTTCGCACTTGAGAAAGCAAACAAAATGAAACAAGAATTTGAATTTCAGGCAACATAATTCAACCAATAG